TGTCTTATAATATGTGACCAATAGAATAAGGAAGACTTGATGTAATGCAAGTTCTAGGCCTAACCTGGCAGAATCCTGGAGGCTTCCATGTTTTTTTCTTACCTGAATCACCAAAGAACCCCCAACTACATGGAGAGAGAGGTCTGGCCACTCTGAACCGTTTACCTCACTCAAGCTGAAGTACCAAGGAAGGGAGTAAAGACATGTTGGATCCTTTGGTTATAGCCAGACCTCCCCAAGCAACACAACGTATACCAGAGACCATTTTCCCCCTTTAAGCCTGGCCCAATATGCTATGATAAGTAAATAAGTAGTTATTATTTTATATCTCTAAGCTTTGTAGGGGTTTATTACACAGCAGTAGATTTCTGAACCAGAAACTCAGAGACAAAGGGATTAGTTCCCTGGAGAGGTGTAAATGTAGAGAAAAGAAAGGCAGGATTAAGAGAAGTGTAGAAGATAAAATCAACAATGAGGTGACAAAAATGGGAAAATCCAGTAATTTGCTGATTTCACATGATTAAATGAATGGTAATTGCATTAACTGAGATGTAAAATAATGGTTTAAAAGCATTTAATTATCAGAACTATACTTTCCAAACAGCTCTGTTAAAATGCACTTCATTTCACATGAATTTCATTCATTTAAATTGTACAATACTGTTTTTCTGCTATATTCACAGTTTTGCAACTATCACCATAATCAAAGTTAATAACTTTTTCATCACCCCCAGAAGGAACCCTATACCATTTGTAATCCCTTCCTAATTACACACATCAATCTTATGCAGCCAATAATCTGTTTCTATCAGTTTTCCCATTCTGAGCATTTTCTTTAAGTGAAATTATACAATATGTACTTTTCTGCAAGTCATCCCTTTCATTAGCCTAATGTTTGTGTGAGGCTTATTCATGTTGTAGCATGTATTAGTACTTCATTCATTTTCATTGATGAATAACATATAATCATTTGGTTGTACCAGAGTTTATTTGTCCACCTATCAGATGATGAATCATTGTTGTGTTTTTGGCTGTTATAAGTAATGCTGCTAGGAACATTATTGTGTATGTCTTCATCGGTACATAGGTTTCTCTTGGTTATATGCCTGCTGGGTTATATGTTAATTCCATGTGTAAATCTTTGAATAATTCATATGCTGTTTTACATTGCAACCAAAAATATACATAAGCGAAACTTCCAGTTTTTTCACATTATCAACAACCCTTAATTTTTATCTCCCTTTTTTATTATAGCCATGCTAGTAATGTGAAGAGTTATCTAATTGTGGTTTTATTTGCAGACCCCTAATGACTAATGATGTTGAGCATCCTACCAAGTGTCTATTGGGCTTTTCTTATTTCTTTGAAAAATGTCAATACAAATTCTTTACCCATTTTGAAATTAGGCTATCTTCCTGCTAGTATGTGCATGTGGATACTTGCATGAAAGAATCCAGCATAATTCTAAAGAATTAATAAGTGGATTATTAATGCTTAATTGTGCAGTGAAAATTCTTTTGCTTTTGATTTATTTCCATCTTGTAATAAATACCCGTTTTTTTCTTCTATCTTAAATATAGCATAAAGTTTTACTGTTATCACTATTTAAATAGAACATTTTAATGGAATAACATGCACCAATCTTAAAATGCCACAAATAAATTTAGATAAAGTCAATTAAACTTTTAATTTACATGCTAGGTATGTAAACACTGGATCCAAAGGCTTGGTGCAACTACCGCATACAAAAAATCAAAAGAACAGCATCAGTTTTTTCATGGCAATTTTACATCATTTATCAGCTATATTGTAATCTATTTCTGCAAAGTAACTATAATATTAATATTCCAATTATAATTGATATATTAAAAATGTTTTGCAATATTTTTATTTAAACAAGAACACATCTCAAGGCATATTATATTTGATAGATACATGACAGATATCATAGTGAGGAGGGATTGACTCATATGGTAAATAAGGCATTTTTTTTAACATAAAAAGGTGCTCTGGATCACCAATATTATTGAATGCAATGGCAACAAATAATACAATGGTATCTTTTCAACAGAAAGATAAAATGTGTTAATATTACTCTCTGCATTTCAAATGTAACTGATGTGTATCGAAGGTTTTTGTTTACTGGTCATTTCAATACTTGTCTTGCAGTAACAATATGATATCTGTGCTATTATTACTCCAACCATTTTACAGATAAAAACGTAAAAACATGAGATTAGGTAATTTGTTCAACATACTGTTATTAACTACTAGAAACTAAATTCAATCCCGGGAGGCAGAGCTTCAGAGCTTTCACTGTTTACCCCTGTGTTATCTTACATATTTCTCATAGAATAAGGACAGAGCGCTCTGTTAATTTGTTTCTTGGTACTGCCTTTCTCAGGGCTTGTCGAGATATAAGCTTTTTACATTCTCTTAAGAATGATTGGAAACTCCCACCGGCTGTCATGTCACCTTCATTGATGTTTATGTTTTTACCTTCTGTATTTCTTTTCTGACTCATTTCAACACACCTGATGCTTTTGCATGTATTGAATGGAGGTGCTCAAAGATTGGCATAAGTTGGAGAACTTGTTGTTTCTCCAGGTGACTGCACTTCACAGCCATGATTGAGACATAATGGTCTAGAAGACAGGAGAATATTGCTATACAAAATGATGTAAAACAGTAACCTCTGAAACTGTAATAACCCTGAAATTTATAATCTGAATAACACTATTTTTAAATAAACAACTGAAATATACCACAAATAAGCGTAAGTAATAGTATCACGAGCTATTAACTCACCTGAATTACGTGAAACAGTAAATTTTCATGTGAAAAATTCTAAAATACATGTTTTATCTTTTTATTCTTAATTAATTAATTAATTAATTTTGAGATAGTCTTGCTCTGTCACTCAGGCTGGAGTGCAATGGTGCAATTTCGGCTGACTGCAACCTCTGCCTCCCGGGTTCAAGTGATTCTCCTGCCTCAGCTTCCCAAGTTGCTGGAGACAAGCACTCACCACCATCCCTGGCTAATTTTTGTCTTTTTAGTAGAAACAGGGTTTCACCCCTTGTTACAGTTCTTTGAAGTCATGCTTCAGGACACAAGGAAGGGAAGAATAGACACAGGGGCCTTGAGAACAGAAGGTGGGAGGAGGGTGAAGATGAAAAGCAACCAAGCTTATTACCTGGGTGACAAAATAATCTGTACAACAAACCCCACAACATGAAAATTACCCACGTAACAAACTGCACGTGTACCCCTTCAACCTAAAATTAAGTTGGAAATTAAAAAAAAAATGCTTCAGGATCTTGATTTCACTTACTTAAAATTTTCACTGAAAGCTCTTCTCTCATCTGAAGCTGATCTGGACGCAATGGTTTTGGAATCCATTGACTGGGCAGTGTGCGCCACTTCAATGTTTTAGTCAAGAATTGTGTAAGCTGAACCAACTTAGATGTCTACAGTGTTTGTCATTGTTTTTGATATTAATTTTGAGTCCTCTTCAGCTGAGGCACAAATGATGTTAATTTTTTCTTTGCATTGATGTGAATTGTCTGTAATTTCAGGCTTTATCTTTCAAACGGTCTTGCCCCTTATTATAGCAAGTTATCCATGTAAGAAAACTACTGGTTTATTTGGGGCATCAACCTCATAAACTTTTCATAAAGCATCAATAATTTTAACACTCTTCCACCTATGCCTGCCCATGAATTTGATATATGTGCTTGTGTCAATGTTAGCAAAATTCATGTTGCTTTGATAGTGGCTCTTTTCAAACTTATCTCTTATCCTTCTTAATGCCTCAAACTAGATCCTCCAGACATGTTTTAACAAGTCAGTACATGTTTATAATGGTGCAAAAATATTAAAATCCATGCATAGATTTTGTGATAATATATGTTTCTCATGGACTTTTGAAGATTCCTCCTTTGTGTTTATGTATATGTACATACGTGAGAAGAAATTATCTAGGGCCAGAAGATGAACCATGGCAGAGGAATAGGTAAAAAAAATTAAATTCCTGGAACTTAAGCTAGGATGGAATATTTTACAGAGGGAAGAAAATGCTCCCTATCAGCCAGGGTAGAAAGATCTTGAAATCCTCAAAACATTGAATGGAATCCTCAGAGACTGTCTACATTAGTAAGGTTACATCAACACTAAATGTTGTTCTGGACCCACCAAAAGAAAGCTTAGAAGTAAACTTCAAAAGGAGCCAATTGGCTAAAAGTAATTTATTTGTTCAATACAAACAAAATAGAAACTTATTTTTTAAAAAAACACAATAAAACTTATCAGCCATCAGTGAATACAATATAATACATGCAAGAAAATTACCTGCTTTTTTTCATCATCCCCAGTCAAATGAAAAATCCATCAATTATTATTGTTTGAATTTTAGCCACAGTCTTTTCCAATTCTAGAATTTCTATTTTGTCTCATTTTCTATTTATATGCTGATTTTTTTAAACTTTTATTACATTAAAAACTTGTTTTGCTGTTCTTTTTTAAAGGTAATTTTGACAACCATTTAAAAATTCTTGTCTGGTAGTTTTCAAATTTGGTTCATCTCAGGATCAAGTCACTTGATTTTATTTCACCTTGAAATTTGTTTAATGCTTTGTGTGTTGATTAACTTTGTTTTTATGCTTGACAGTATATAGGTTATATCATAAATATTTTGAATGTTGTTACTTTTTTTTCTCTGATGAGTAATTTTAAGCAGGTAATTTTCTTGCTGTATTTAAAATGCAAACCTTATAGCATAGGCAGCAACTCTCATGTTTGATATGTGTTCTTTAGCAGAATTTTCTTAAGTGTATTCTGCAAACACATTTCAGAGATTAGTCAGAAATGTCAGTAGAGAGAATCGAAGAATTTTTATTGGCTCTTTCCTTTTTAAGATTCCCCTGTTAATTTATTGATGGTTCCTCCTGGCTTTAGGTTTCTAAATCTTTTCATCCAAAAGATTGTGCCTTTTTACACTGATACCTCCTCCATTTCTGGGCAGGGCATGTGGCTAGCACTTATCCTCAGGCCTAAATCTGTGCAGCTGGGGAACTATTTTATGCCACCCCCACATCCCTCATCCCACTGGAATCTGACACCATTTGTTTACTCCAAGTGACTTAAAGTAGTTACCTTTTGTAGAACGTTTGGATTTTATAGGATTGATATCTAGTTAGGAATTACTCTTTAGTTAGCATGCCATACATTTTACTCCAAATATTTGGATATTATTGAAAATGGCATTTTTTTATTTTAATTTCAATTTCCAACTGTTTGTTGTTATATGTAGTAGCATAACAGATTTTTGTATATTAACCTTGTATTCTGCAATAGTACTAAATCATTTATTAGATGATACTTTCAGATTTCTGGAAGCATACCCATGTCATCTGCAAATAAATTCACTTTTATGCCTTGTTTTCACAAATGTATGCTTTTTAAAATTACCTTATTTTGTTGAGTTAAATCTCCAGAAAAATATTGCACAAAACTTATGAGTGTGAACATTTTTGTCCTGTTTTATATCTTAGAAAAAACATTTATTCTTTCACATCTAATGTTGCTATGTCCTCTCGATGAACTCATGCCTTTTTATTGTGAAATTTTATCTCTGGTTCTAAAATGCATTTTCTCTTATATCAATACAGCCAGTCTACCGCTCATTTCAGTAGTGTTTGCAGAGTAGAGCCTTTTCTATCCTTCTTTACTTTTAACCTATTTGTGTTTAGGTTGATAGTTTCTACCCCATTCCCCAGTCCAACACTTTTTACTACTCCATTTTCTTCTGGCTTTCATCATTTCCAACTTAAATACTGCTGTAACTTGCATCTTGTTCCATTCTATGTAATGATTCTTTCCATCACTGGCTGCTTTTATTATTTTTTTAAATCACTGGTTTTAGCAATTTGATTTTAATGTGCCTCAGTATGATTTTCCTTAATTTAATTGTACTCATATTTTATGGAACTTCTTGGATATGTTGGTTTATATTTTCAATCAAATTTGGAAAAGTCTCTACTATTATTTCTTTAATTGTTTCAATTGTCTTCCCTTATCTTCATCTCTTCATTCATTCTCAGACTACAGTTTCACAGCTTAGATTGTTAGCTGCTGTCCCAAAGCTCACTGATGTTATGTTCATTTATTTCAAGTCATTTGTCTAAGTTTCATTTTTTAATAGTTACTATTTCTGTCTTCAAGTGTGCTGAATATTTTCTTCTGCAATGTGCAACTAGCTACTAATTTCATCCAGTGTATTTTCCATCTTGGATACTGTATTTTATCTCTCAAAGTTCTGTTTTATTGTTAACGTCTCTACTTTCTTTTTTCAATGTACTTAATTCTTCCTATGGTCTTAAATACATGAAGTATATTCATAATGACTGTTTTTAAAGTTCCTGTCTACTAGTTCTACCATCTCTGTTATTCCAGTGTCTTTTCTGTTGGTTGTTTTTTTTTCTGGATATGGGGCACTTTCTTCTGTTACTTTGGACATCTGATCATTTATTGGATGCCATCTCTTTTAATTGTATGTATTGTACACACGAGAATCACTTGAACCTGGGAGGCAGAGATTGCAGTGAGCCAAGATGGCTCCAGTGCACTCCAGCGTGGGCGACAGAGGGAGATTCTATCTAAAAAAAAAAAAAAATAGCAAGCTGGTTTCAAACTTAAATAGAATGGAAACATATCTAAAATAGCCAAAACAATCTTTAAAAAAAGAAGAACAGTTAGGACTTATATTATTTGATTTTAAGATATGTTCTAATACTCTAGTAATTCAAAGGTTTAAATCTAAGAGCTAAGACCAAAGCATTTCTAGAAGAAAATCTAAGAATAAAGCTTTGTGACACGGTATTCAGCAATAGTTTGCTGAAATACACAAATATCATAAAGTATAAAAAAATTAGGCACATTGAACTTCACCAAATTTTTAAAAAGACCATCAAAATTAATATTAAAAAATTAAAAGGCAAACAATAGGGAGAAAATATTTTCAAAATATTTTTCTGACAAAAGGCATATCCAGATTACTTAAAAGACTTTAGTAATTTAAAAATCAAGAAGTAAAAACTAAATAAATGAATACATAATAAAAGGAGCAAAATATCTGAACATTTATTTCACCAAAGTAAATATATAAATGAAAATATTCACATAAAATAGATGCTTAATATTATTCAACATTAGACACAAATTAAAACCAAAATGACATATAAATACAAACCCACAGGAATTCTAAAATTAAAGACCGCCAATTGCAAGTACTGACAAGAATAAGTAGCAACTGAAACTGTCATGCAAAAATGGTACCATCCCTTTGAAAAACAGTTGGGCCATTTTGAGAAATTAAGCATATCATCACTGTTACCAGAAATATTACTTCCAGGTTTTTGCCAAAAGAACTAAAGATACATATATTCATAAAGATGTGTATTTTTTGAATTTGCATAGAAATTCTTTTTCATAAAACTGAAAAATTTGAGTCAACCCAAACTTCTATTATGTAATGGATGGAAAACAAACTGTGATATACTCTATCTCTATCATATTACTTAGCAATAAAAATTAACAGAAATTATGTGTCCAAGAAATGTGTCTCAGTTATGGACATTTTAATAAAATCTTGAAAAATCACTAGGGGTTAGGTTGCTAAATATATGAACATACTTTATTTTCGAGTGACTAAGAAAGAAAATGGTATGGGTTAGAGTGGCTTTGGAAGCATGACAAAGAATAGGAATTCTACTTTAAGTGATATTAAGAAGTCATTGGAATGAGGGAAAATTACATTATTGTATCAATGAAGATAGAGTGTGACCATGGTGTTTGTGACATATTTTAGAGATGGAAAAAATAATATTTTAAAATAGAATGGCTATGGAATATTAGGAAAAGAACAATCAATGGAGATTCTTAAGTCTGGGGCTTGAGCAAAAGGGAAGATGCTGGTGACATTGAAAAGGCTGGAAAATGAACACAGTTTAGGTGGAGGGAATGGAGACCTCTGGTTTAGACATGTTAACTGAGAGGTTTCTGAAACACCTAAGTATACAGTGTGACAAGTCAACAGGAGAAAAGGAAAAATTTAAAGCTTGAGATATAATTTGTGTGTCATAAGCATAGAGATGGAGTTTTAAAGTCACAGGTCTTAATTAACTGACCTAGTGAGAGTATATATAGTAAGAAATGGGGAAGGGGGAAGGGATTATTCCTCTGAGGAATTCTTGGAGATGGATGGAGCAGCTTAAAGAGATTGTAATACAATTAAAAGAGGGTAGCATCATACAAGCTGGGAAAATGAAACAAAATTCAGAAGAAATTGGTCTTCATTGTGAATACTGCAAGAGCTTTATGAGGAAGAGAAGTTATTATTAAATTTGGAAAGCTGGCATGATGAGTGATCTTGTCAGCAAACATTACAGTGATAGAATAGAAGCCCAATTACAGGATACTGAAAAAGAATGGGAGTAAGGAGGTGGAACCAATACCTGGAGACAATGCCTCCTGTAAAATGTGAAAAGACCTATGCTTCAGGAGGATTTCTATTTTCTTTACTGATGGTATGGATATCTGTGCAATAGTAGATTTCATCTCACTCAAAGCTCTCCAGTTTGGAGTGCACAGATTGTTTCCCACTCAGCCTGCCACTGACCTGTTCCAGCTCTGAAGAGCTTGTCCTCCTACTCCAGACACTAAGTGGGCTCTGGAGCCCTCACAGGTTTAGCTTGGTGGTCCTCAGAGGCCACTGCCATAAATTCTTTGTGAGGACCTAAGTAAGATCTTGTACAGAACACAGTTTCTCAGGAGCTACCTCCACAAGTATTGAGTCTCACATTTCCTTTAGTAAAAGCTTTCTGTGGAATTGTGGCTCCAATCTGCTCTTGTACTTTGGAAATATTTACAGGTTATAATGACATAAAACAGAGGGAACTTTTATTTCTTCCATCAACTCACTGCTAGAATTTTTTGGGGCCAGATAGTTTCAATGGAAACAATCTGGCCCAAAGTCAAAATATTGAGTCCTCATTTCTACTCTCTGTCTATGTTAAATATCTCTCCATTTTTTTCTAAATACCAGAAAGTTGCTTAATCTCACAACTACTCCAACTTGTGGTAGTCAAAAACATATTGCCAACACAATCCCCTTTGTTCTTTTAGCCTTCAGCCCAATATGTTAATCCTACTGTTCCTCTGGACACCTTTTGCTCCTTTCTGACAGCCACTGGATCTGCATTTTACCTAGCTAAGTTTTCCTGTTTTCAATCCATCCAACTCATGTCCTTGGACAGAGGGCAGCACTGGAAGCTGCAACCATCAATTTCCACCCTTGTCATTCAGAAGCAAAGAGTGGGCTTATGGGAAATACTCCCTAAGCATCTTCTACCATCATCAAAACTATGCATCCTAGGGTCAAAGTGGTTATTCACAAGTAGTGTCCAAGAGTTTATATATACAAAATCCCGTTTTTCCTCATACAGTCTAGTGAGGAAAATGGTAACATTCTTATTTATAGATAAGATAATTGACTCAATTGTTTTATCTAATAAGACCAAAGTTCACAAGCTAGTAAGTGATAGGACAAGAAATGAAATTCATGTTCATCGGACTACATACACCATGGACTTTTTACTACTGAAATACTTCTTTTCAGAAATATGTCACCAGAATGTTACTTTATGTATATATCTTAGTCAATTTTTCTTTTCACCTGTCTGGGTCTTGGCATTTGTTGCTGTTTCTCTCACTTCTGCACATTTCTCAACACCCAGTTCAGGCAAATTTCCTCCTCAAAACTTTTTCTGACATCCACCCCTAGGCTACAACTCACATGCTTTCCCAAAACACCTTATCTATTCTTACTGAGATGTACAGTATTTGTCTGTCTTCCATAACAATATAACCGCATATGTTTATGAATGAATGGATGAATACCTAAATAAATGAATACATAGGTGAATCTGTCTTTAAAAATCTCAGCATAGTTCATGCATATCAATTTTGGAGCCTCCACACATTTAGGCAAAGGCATACCTTGCTAAAGATCCTTAATAGAGGTATTTCTCTCTAACCCTGAGCCAGAGGTAGCAGCTGTCCTCTAACCTGGGATTATTTTTACAATATACTGTGCCTGTCAAGCAGGAGTGACTGGAATTTTCCTCCTAGTGTTTTCCACCTGCAACGCCTCCTCTGAGCTGTGCCATTTCTGCCTGTTTGGTCCCATCCCTCCCTCTCCACTAGCAATTGAGAAATCTTTCTGTCTCTTAAAATGAATACTGTCAATTTTCTCAGATGCCATTTGCTCCTGGTCTCAAGACCTCTGCTCCCTGATTAACCACTCTTTTCCTTTGATGCTTGAAGCTCTCTGGCTTCTTAATATCTGCCACTTTCCCCTTTTAAAGAAAGATCTCAGCCCTGTCACTTGCACTAAGTGCCAGCTCATCTTTAACCTTCTTTTCTTCAGGCCTTGAAACTCTCTGAGTGCCTCTCTCATAACAGTATCTGTAATTGATTTCAGACTGGGCTTGGCTCTGGTGAAGCTGGGCCAGTTCAGGTTAGAAAACAACTGTCTTGAGGTTGTTAGCCAGGCATCTTCCTGTTGCAATTTACTCCTGACTTGAGGCAAAAGGGCACCTTTATAGTTAAAGAAGTTACATTTCTGAGCTCTTTGCACTTTGCTTTTGCCAAATCACTCACTAATCGGCAAGTAGTAATAGAGTCAAAAATTTCCTGCGGAGTGCAGAAGGCTAGGCTTGGGTTTCAGATAGCTGTGGAACTTCCACTCTACCCTTTGGTTTTCGCCATTACTCTAAGAATCATTGCTTCTATTGGTATACTGCAAGCATTTCTGTTTTAAGAGTATCACATTATACAAGGATAATATATAATCTAGTGAGATACTGAGCACATTCCTGGATTGTTTCTAGATTTGTAAATCTTATCTACTTCTTTTCAATGTTTCAATGGCTCTGTGGATGTGAATATCCAACACTAATAATTGTGATCCCTCCCATTATTCTTGTTAAGGTTGCTCGCCACAACCTCTGCCTCCAGGGTTCAAGAGATTCTCCTGCTCCTGAGTAGCTGTGATTATAGGTACACACCACCACAACTGGCTAATTTTTGTATATTTTAGTAGAGATGGGGTTCCACCACATTGGCCAGGCTGGTCTCGAACTCCTGACTTCAAGTGATCCACCTGCCTCGGCCTCCTGAAGTGCTGGAATTATAGTCATGGGCCAGTGTGCCCAGCCTCTGAACTGTGTTTTTACCTACAAATAACCCTTTCATGTTTTTGTTATGCACTATATCCAATCAAATGAACTGTCCTATGATTTTGTCTGCTAAATCAATCTAAAATGTATCCACTTTCCTCCATGTTCACTTTAATTATTTCTGTTTTTCTCTTCTATTAGTGCAACCTCATTCTGATTGTTCTCCTAGATTCTAGGGTTTCTTTCTTCTAGTCTGTTTCTTTCATTGCGGAAAGAAATCCATCCATAACAAAAAAACAGTTTTGACTACTACAGCCTGCCTTTATCTCTCAATAAAGATAATTAGAGGAATAGATTTAATAAAAGGAATATTATGGTGACCCATAAGAAGCCAGTGTTTTCTTTTGGACCCAGTGTTT